ATGTATAACAGCTTCAGCCAAAACAAAAAAATTGTGTTTTTTTTGTAAAATCTCTGAATCCCATTTTGTCATGCCAATTTTGTGTTTACTTTAACATTGCAACAGGGTGTTCCTTATTTCCCAGGGACTAATTAATGGATTTGGATTTTTTTTAAACAGAGAAGTGATATCTATGTGTGTGTGAAATTTGTTCACTCAGCTGTGACTCAAAATATATTATTTCCTCCAGGCTCTTGGCTGCAAACCCCACTCTGTCTGAACAGTCTGCTCACATACTGTTAGAGCGAAGTCTAGAGCAGGTGGAAGGAGGTACGTTTTTTATCTCTTCTCCTCCCCCTCGTGAGGAACAATCGCACCATACTGGCAGCTGACTATGTTTCTGTTCAGCAGGTTTTGTGTTCTCCAGAGACTTGCGGGTTAATTTTGTAAGTGACTTTTAACCTCCTGAACCCTCCTGCACATTCAGCATTTTCTTCTTTTATTCCTTACAGGGTGGGGGGGTTTATCATTCAGCCCCATAAATGAAAACATGAACGATGTGTCTTTGTTTTCAGAAAAACATTCACCGCTTCACTTTGGAGCAGAGTCTGGAGATGCAGTCGAGGATTCAAGCCTCTGTTCTAGTTATTCTGTAAGATATCGACCTCTGTCTGATTCACTGTCTGTATAATATCTATAACTACTATATCAATGACATGAACTCCTGAAAGTGTCCACACTTTGCCTTTCACATATGAAGAACGCAGCAGGAGAGTCAGACGTGTTCATGACAACAGGAAAATGTCTGTAACATTCAGGTGAGGGGTGGTATCTGGGTAGAGCATCCAGGAGGCAGCGCATGACTATAAATTCTGCAGCGGAAAATGACACCAGCGTCAGCTGTTGTTGTTGACTGTCCGAATTGACCCATTGACATTGATACCCCCACTGACTCGCAAGAAAGTGCCAGAACCTGACCCGGACATGAGTGTTCCCACATACAGCCCCTCTGGATGATTTGAATAGTAAAAGTTCAGGAGTTCAGTGCATGTCTGAAACCAGCGTATCAATAACTTACTGTAACCTTCATCCTAGTTTTTTTTTTCTAGAGCACAAGGTGGCGTTGAAAGAAGATTTTCCGAACCAGCCCAAATGAAATTCACCTCAACTCTTCTTCAAAACTTTCGGGACAGAAATGTGGGTTTAGCGTCAAAATATATGTTTGAGCTAGTTTGATAAATATGTGCAGTTAATATCCCCTGTGTTTCTCTCTCCCTCAGCACAAGGTGGTGACGGTACCGGGCGATCATCACGTCCACCTGAATAACCCTGAGGTCATCGCCCCATTTGTGACCAACATCCTGCAAACTAAAGCTTTGTCACTGTCAACCAAGCGGGAGCACAAGTTATAAAATACTAACATTCTCCAACACGCTGTCACAGTTCCATCATGTTCTCCACTCGTCTGTAAGATCAACCTGTACTACTGTAGTAGAGCTCCCTTGAATCATTCCTCAATGTAACATACTTACATTTTTTAATTAAATTTAAGAATAAAAGTTGGTTTCCTTGTTCGCTATACGAGTTGTCCAGGTCTGCCTGACAGTCCTCACTGAGGGAAAAGAACATTTACTATTGCAACTTCATCGCCACTCATCTTATCCACTTTTGTTGTTTTTTTTGACACGTAAAGCAGAAGCATCACCAGATAAAGTGAGATGTCATCTACAATGAAACAAGAAGGTAGGAGTTCTTATTATCCTCAAACTTTCTGGAGACATGGATATTTTCAATTACTGTGAAATCCTGTTTATACAATCATGAGAGATCTGTAAGGACTTAGCGTTTGAGCTGCACGCTGACAGTTGTTGTGTGTCCAGTGTCGGAGCTCTCTGTTCCCGTGGCATGGGAAGAAATCAGATGTAAAGTCTGGGGTCCTGTTCACGGTCGTCCTGTGCTGCATTCACGGCTGGGCTGACAACTGTGGTACACTGAACTCCCTCATTCCCCTGCTGCCCAAAGGTAAATCATGACACGCCAGAGTAGATAATAAGTAATCAAGCTTTTGGCATATTACAGCGATTATACCTGTGTTTGAGATCCTTAACAACCCTGACTAAGTTGTCCCAAAACCAAACCCCATATGGGATTAGTATATAGTGTGTTCAGTGGAAAATAATAGTAATTTAACCCATTTTTTATAGCATCAAATAACTAATTAAAACCAAAAAGTACCAGAAAATGAGCATATGGACAAACAGAAAGACAAAATTACGTAGACAGACAGAAAGCATATTTGAGATGTTAATAATGCGTACTTTTTAGTTTTATAAAAGGTCTATGTTTGGAAAAGAAAAGAAAATTATTGAAACTTAAGTCATAATTTAACAAGAAAAAAAAGGCATCATATTACGAGAATAGGCAGGGGTTCCCATTCCTCCAGGTTGTTTCTGAAATGTCTGTGATGTGTTTGATTCAAAGCTCTTTCTGTGCTACCTCTCAGAGAACAGATATGTGGCGATTGACCTGACAGGTCATGGTCATTCATCACTTCTTCCTGGTGGAGCTTTCTACATTAGTTTCACTCAGGCGTCACAGCAGCAATAGTTTGAGTTTCTTCAGGACTCTGGAGGATCTTTTGTGGCCGTAAAATCAATGGTGTTATACAGCAGTAAGAACAACTAGATTTTATTAGATGTGATGTTTTTGCGAAATGACTCCCACAGGGCTGCAGTGGACTAAATTCACCATCCTCGGCCACAGCATGTGTGAGTCACACACTCTGCAGATGAAATAAAACTCCACTGATACTGACATCACATTTTCACATCACCAAACACCCTGTGAAAAGACCTGATCTGAGCCAGATGATAAATGTGAGTGTGGAGTGATCAGCCAGACAGTCCTGGAACAACCAGTGATTTAATGATTCATTGACAGACAATATAGCACCAACTATTCTGATAATGATCACTTATTTAAGACACTTGTGTCAGTCCTCCTCGAACAGTTCTACAATATACTGTCACTTTTTATTGTGCTGGACGTTGTGTTCAGAGCTTTTTATGAATAGTCTGTTGTGCAGAGTTAACTTAACTTTGTGTTCATCCTACCTGGTTTATGTGAAATGAAGATTATATTGTTTTTTTCATAAACGAAATATCTTCATGTGTGTCGCTTTATATATGTGTTTGAATGATTTCCTTAACACGCTTTCACTGTGAAATTACCATATCATATCATTATCATAATATTGTGCGATTGAGTCCCCTTCAGATATGTTACTGTTTGAACACAACCACAAAGTTGCAGTGACTTGGAATGATAAAGCTTTTGTGTGTAAACCTCCAGTGAACACAGTTTTGACAAAGGGAAATAGCCACTCATTACCATTTACATCAGTGTGACCAGACATTTACATTCATTACACAAACAGGCGCAGAGTGGATATGTTTTTATTGTATTGCCTAACTGTCTTTAGTTTTCATCAGTTTACAACGTTTTGGCACATTTTTAAACTTCTGGCTTTGATGCTTCTCTTACCTTATGTTTTGTCATCTCCATAAATGTTGGTGGACTGTGAAAACACCAGGGGGCAGCACTGGGAACAAGTCTAGTAATATTTTCACTTTGTTTGTTAATTTGTTGGTTTGTCATGATTCTTGATGCCTGATCTTTTTGAAGGACTTTTTGGACTTTCTATACACTCCCTGTTTTATTTTGTAACCTCGTTCCTTATTCACATTTGTGCTGTTTCTAAATTCACCATTTTTCCATGGGAATAATACATTGATGTCTTATGAAATAAAAATCTGGTATATTATAGGACCTAATATCTAAGCATGGGTGTAATTTGGTTTTGTTTAAATGAATTTAAGGGAACTGATAACGCTTGTTGAATGTATGCACTCTCCTGAGAGAGTTGTCCTCGTTCAAGGAAACATATCAAAGTAAAGACATTTTAACATAAATAAAAAAACGAATTAGATCATATAGTCTTATTGAATGAATAAAACCACTGATAACATGAATTATAATGTTGTAAATATATATATATAGCACCTTTCAAAACACATCACAAGGTGCTTCACAAGTTGAAAAAGAAAAATTGAAGGCTAACAAAAGGAAATGGTCAAAGCTATTTGAGGATCATACAGCATTAGAGCACAAATGCAAAAATAAAAAATTGTGTCTTCGAGAGAGATTTAAAAGAGGATATTATCCTGTTATTATAAAGTGTGACAGGAAGTTCGATTTATTGGAGGGTGGCAACCAACATAAACGTGCATTACCGACAAACGTACGTGAAGTCATTGGTTAAATTTTGAAAGGACACATGTCCCATGTAGCAGCTGCCCTTTGATTGCTCCCCTTTATTCTTCCTTTGATCTGTTTACATACTGTAAATACGTGTGCTTCAGTGTTAGCATTTCTTTCGAATTTTGACACAGAGAGACATGATACAGGGACACAGCAGAAATATTTCCAACCTAATAAATTAACATGTAACAGAAGACATGTCTGAGTCAGGAGAGTTATCAGGAACCGAGAATAAATGGCGCTCCAGGTACTGTCGCAATGATAAGCTGCTACAGAAGCAGGCTGAGAATGAGCACCTGATAGAGGTGCTTCAGAAAAACAACAAGGATCTGTTAACAACAGTGGAGGATCTGCAGCACAGAGAGAACCACCTCAAACATAAGCAGAAATGGTCTGAGTCCTTGCTACGTGAAACTCAGGCAGAGAATGAAACTCTGTTCAATGAAACTGTTACTCTGCAAGAACAAAACAATGTCCTATGCAAACAAAACAGGTCCCTCGTTGAAAAGGTGGCTTTACTTAAAGCTCAGAATGAGGCGATGCAACAGGAAGCTTCAGAGAAGCTTCAGAGCGTAAAATCAACAAACCTCCTCAGCAGCGATGAGACCATAGCAAAGATGCACATGGAGATCAATGACACTGAGAGGACCACCAAGGAGCGTCATTCATTTACAGATGGTTTTGAAAATACGTTGTGGGATTTGAATGAGCAGCTGAAGACAAGACACAAGAACAAACTCCTGGGTGATAATCTCAGAAACAAGTGTCTGGCTTCCGAGCCTCTGCAGGAGTCTGCAGATTTTGACATTCAACAGAAGACTCCTGCAGCAGAATCTCCGTGGCATTGCTATAGCTGCCGGTCTCTACAGATCTGTGTGTGTGTGTATGTTGGCGGAGCCATTCTGCATTATTCTCTGGTCCTTCTGAGAAAATGGACCTGAACGACTGGCTCCCATCATGCACTGCACTTTCTTTCAGTTAATGAGGAGTTTTTCTCTCCAGATAACTTTTGATTTCTCTATAATTGTTAAGGTCTTGACCTTCTATGCAAAGTAGAGATAATGTATATTGTGATTTGATGCAATACAAATAAAATGTGCTTTTTCTACCACATTAGTTGCCTCTTATTTTTTCACCCCATAATATAATGACTCCATCATCAACAAAGAGTGATCACCCTGAACTTAAGAGAACACATCATTATCATAAGGGAAACAATATTGGACTACTGACACTGCCCTGATGAGTACCTTATTCCACCATCCTGATAAAGCTCTCCCAACTCTTACTAGAATAAACCTATCAAAAAAAAAGTCTTTGATCCAATTGTATGTCCTACCTGCTATCATGTTTAATTTAATAATTTATCCCTCCTTCCAAACGATATCAATGATATGGTGATTTGATATGAAATGAAATGATATGATATGATACAATATGCCTTTTCTATCAAAAACACTGCCATTTCAGACTCTTTATTAACTTGTGCTTTCTTAACCAGGTCTACAGTTCCTCATCTTCTCCTAAATCCACTCTGATGGTGAGATAACATTCCTCTCCTTTCCATATAAAATGCTAATCTTTCCATAATCATTTTTTGCATTACTTTTCCCATTCATTCAATTAGATTGCTCCTTTCCTAGTTTCCTGATCCTGAACAATCACTGCCTTTTTCCAGTCACCACTCACATATCCTTGCTACATTCCTTGACACTAAGGTTAAGTGTATAGTGCTGAGGTGTTTCTTGTGTGAACATCTAACCTCGTCCCTGCTCCATCATTTAGGCAGACCAGACCTTTTCCTCTATCAGTTCTTTAATAATCTCCCCATTAGCATCTGTTCTTATCCCCCCCCACAATGTACAAACCAACACACTGCTACCATCCAGCCCCATTTGTGTTAGCTTATCCAACTCTAGATTCCTACAAGGGTTGTAATAAT